GGGGGGGGGGGGGGGGGAAGAGGGAATGTCCAGATTGTTGAGTATGAATTGTGGGAGATTAGTCTTCACACATAGGGCTGGCCTTATCGGGCCCTGTAGTTTCAGGATGGGCCTTGGCCTGATCTGAGAACTGTGCTTGAATGGAGATGTTGTGCATCTTCAGGTCAGACTACAGAGCAACACGCCATGCCTGTTCTATTTCGGTGTGCCAGGTCTTACCCACAATGCTTAAGCAGGCAAATGCCCTTGCACTGCAGTCCCAGCATCTCCACAAACGAATCATTTGTGGTCTGGGAGTAGAGTAGCCTCGTCTACTTCACGACGTTTCACTCCAGACAGTTACATCTTAGGAATGACAGGGCAACAGCGCTGATCCATCTTCCAGTCATAACATGCCAAACTGTCTGCCAAGCTGCTCCTCCGTACCACTCAGTGTCCACTGTGCTGGACGCTGCAACCCCCCGTGTGAAACACCCAGCCGGGGGATACCCAGGATTCAGTGCAGCAGAGGCTCTGCAGAGAGCTTCAAGGAGGCACAGCTCTGAATGCTGTAGGGGTTGGGGAACACTGAGCCCGGGCTTCTGCGGTGGAGAAGCCATGTTTTTAATGAACAAGCTACCACAGCCTCTTTAGGAAGAGCAGCACAATTGAAGGCATGAAATTGTCTGATGTCCGCGCGCTGTTACACAGATGATCCAGATATGAGGTCACTAGAGTGAGCCGCTGATTGATACGTGGAAGAGGTTAGCTGAGGCTGTGTGGCTGTGCTGTCATGTTATTGCTGTTTCTAAGCTCTCGGGCCAGTGTACCGTGAAGAAACACAGTAGCGTGCGTTCACCTTGTGACATGGCATGATGGGTATGAAACCCGGTGAGAACCTCCACAGACTGTGCCGTAGATGCTGCTGGTTAATTTATCGGTGATTGTTTCCTATTCCTGTGTCACAGTGCGCAGGCAGCGTGCACCAGGCTGTGACTATGAGAGTTCATCAGTCATTGTGGATGTCAGTGGACGTGTTACAGTCAGTGCAGGGAGTCCAGAGAGACACAAGGCTGTTCTGGTGAAGTTGCGTCTATTTGAAGCAGTGCAGCTTAAAGCTCACACTGTTTACTGATACAGCTAATTACTTAAGATAATGCTCAGCATAAGGACAGTGCAGTCATATTATGCTCTGTTGTTTGGGTTTTTATCTCTGTTGTGTCTGTATTGCCTATTTCCGTTACATTCTGCAACCCCAAAAATGACATTTAATCATCTTAAATATGTTTATTTTAGTTAGTTGCCTTTAGTCTTGGTCACCTAATTAGATCGAGGCTTTTTCCAATGCACCTTGTAAACAATCCTATAAATCTATGGCTCCGGATGAAAGAATGAGGTCAACATGTTTCCCCCATATGAGTTGTGTTGTGTGAGGTATGTTCTTTCCACAGTGTGTGTCTGTGTGTTAATATGTGTGTGTGTGTGTGTCTGTTTACATGTAAATGTATACATGTGCTCACTGCTCACACAGCAGATGCAGCCAGGCTGTTGTGTGATTTCACGCTGAAGTCTGGAGCTGTTCTCTACTGTCACAGCAGAAATTATTTTCTGTAGCAAAAACATCACACTTCACATGCAACTCCTACACAATAGTTCATTTCAGAGTCCTGGAATTCTTCATGTGGACTCTGAAACTTTAGATTGTGTTTGAAACAGTGGAGTTATAAATGTCTTATTCACTTATTAAGCTGTGACCCACATCTTGTTTGCAGTTCTCCCTTTAATAGAGTTTGATCTGAAGGAAAGTCGGCATATTTTCTTTTGTTATACAGATAATTCTCTTCATTTGTGTTGTAAATTGTTATAAAGAACAGACGAATCTAAGAATTTCTCATCTTTGAGGTTCAGGGACCCCAGCATCTTCCTTATAACATCAACACAGTTGATCCTACTACTAGCAGCAAAAAGCATTTCATTGAAAGATTATGTTTAAGATCAGAAAAGGTTTGCTTTACTTGGCTTGGCGTTACAGATGAGGCCTGAACAAACTAAAGCTGATTCTTTGCAGCCTTGTCAAATCTACACACAGAAGATTCCTTAAGAGCAGTTGTATAAAGTAACATTTGCTGCTGAGAGGTTGTAAATATGCAGTACATGGTAAACTCGACACATGCTTCTACAAAGATACAAAGATTGGTGGCCAAATGTTTGCTTTTTCAGCTGATATGAGTTGTCAGGAATATAAAAACAAAGTGACTGGAAATTGGACACATTTTGTATGGCAGCCTTCCTTCTATACCCATCAAAAATCATTACTGGAACCACATACTGTATGCATTTCTTAACACATTTGACAACCCATAACCATGAGAGTCAGTAGTGGTTTCTCTTGTTGAAGGTAAGAGTGGCAACAAATAAATCACAAATTACCTAGTGCTTATATTTAGTAAATAAATTAAAGGTTAACCAACTAACCTATTGTGTAACACATTGTTATATGTGTTACACAATAGTAATAATAAATGTATGTAGGAGGAACCTTTTCTGTTTACATACCAGTTAAGTTTCATCTGTAGCACCAGTAGTGTAGTGACAGCTGTAGTTGGCATCCAATGTTTGTTCCTGGTCTCTTAGTCTTGTTTATTCATTCTTTGATCAGATATGGGCTGATTTTAATCATCATGTTGTTATGTACTGCATTTTAAGTACTGCAGTTGTATGGTTCTTCCTGTGAGTCAACACTGATGTAGCCTATCTCAGAAGTTTTGTTTTTGTTAAATGGAGAAAAGGTTCTAATATAAATGCTAATTTCTGAAATAAAATGCATTTACTTATATATCTTCAGCATACAAACATTTTGATGAATTCCCAACATTAGAATCAAATTAGGTTCTGTGTCCTTATATGGAGTTGTTTGTTGTGTTTTTACTTTTGCAGATGACCAACCAAATGTAGAAAACGTAATTCTAGGTGTGCCATTGTGCATTTGACAATTACAATGCAGTATCAATACATTTAATGTTTAGATAACAAGTGAATATGTTGCTTTTTTTCTGACTGAAAAGAACCTGTGTTGATGTTGTATTGCTCTCTTAAAACCCACAACTGAAAAGCAACAAGTTCGGACATGTTCTGTGGTGCTGGTTGAAAGGTATTGTGGGAAATGTAGGATAACAGTAATGACAGAATGAGACATGAGCAAACTGTTAACAACATCACAGACTGAGAGAAAATCATGATAACATTAGAAAATGTTTTTTAGGGCCGACTGCTTGATTAATCAGAAAAATAATCAACAAATATTTTAATAATTGATTATTCATTTCAGTCATTCTTTAAGCAAAAATAGTGAAAAGATGCAATTTTTTTTATGTTCCAGCTTCTCAAATAAGAGGATTTGCTGCTTCTTTTGTCATATAGCATAGTTAATGAATATGTACTGTATGAGTTTTGGACTAAACAAGACAACTGAAGACCTTGGGCTCTGGGACCTTGAGTCAGGGGCAGTTGCAGTAGAACATGTGCAACAGCTTCAGCAGTTACAGGTGTCTCTGTCTGATTTTGGTAAGGCCTAACTACTTTATTTAGGAGATCCAATTTTGTTATGTAAACCTCAGCCGTCGCACTGTTCCTGTACATTATTAGCCCTGCTTCTCCTGCCTGTCTGTCCCTCTGCGCTGCCAAAACACTGGTGACCCGTCACGACCATATCGGTATTCGCTCAGGTCAGAGGCGCTGCTGTGCATCACTCTCACACTGAACCCTGTCAGCATCTATCAGAGCCTGCTGTTGGTGTCACAGACAGGCTTTATCACAGAGACCATGGGTGCACATGATTTCACCCTGGCCTGCCCGTGTCCACTGGGGACCTCATCACTCCTCACTTCAGCTGCAGTTAACGATACACCAGGGATATATTGTGATTGGTGACTTAACAGAGCATTTAAATAGCAGTGACATGGTCGGAGGTTAGTGAAGGAGAAAGAAGTGAAATAGGTGGCATCATAAACAGCGCTGTTAAGACCGATAGACTCCAGTGGTGTTGTAGTTGTGCTTTTGCTTACATGTTTCTAATACATGCTACATTACTCCTTTCAGCATTGTACTAAGGCTTACAAAGTGAACATAGTATCATTCCAAGGCTTGTTCGTTTGCCAGCTGGTTGAAAGGATCAAGATCAATAAATGGAGGAGCAGCAGTCTCCCAGTTCTCCCAGAAAGATCCGCTTTCATCTGCGTCTTTGTCTGTTGTGAAAAAGTGGGCAAAAGAACTGGGCTAAAGTTCAGTGATGATTACTTAACAGTTGATTTGGCTTTCAAAATTATGTGTTTAAGGCCCTTACGCAGTGGTTGGCTGTAGTGTAACATTTTCAAATAATCCAACAAGTTGGTTTGCTCTTTTTGGAGTCACTACTTTAGAGAGAGTGGCACTAATTCGAGCAAATGCTAAATACAGAGTTAATGTTAATTTACCCCCAACAAACGGCTGACATTTCTAGCCATTCTAGCAACATTGCTTTAGGGATGACCGTGTCTGTTGTTAGGCTGGTCCACCACTTTGGTCCAGACTGAAACATAAATATACCCACAGCGCTCTGAGAATGAACGCTTGTGACACCCTGACCTTTCCTCTAGTGTAATCAGCAGGTCAAAGTTTCACTCATGTTGTGAAATATCTCAATATCTGCTGGATAGACCGCCACAAGATTTGCTGCAGACATTCATTTTTCCAGACTAATGACTTTGGTTGTCCATTGACTTTCCGTCTAGTGCCACCACGAGGCTGACATTTGTGGTTTTAAGTGAAATGACTTGACAACTATTGGATGGATTACCATTCATTTTGGTGCAGGCATTCATGTCCCCCTGAAGATGAAT